AAATTATCTAGTTTTCAAAAATTTACCCCTACCCCGTAAGGTTATTCCTTGTAGTGGCCTTTTTTCGAAAAGCATCCTATTTTCGCAAATTTACCATAACTTCTCAAGGTTTATACCTAGGAGGGGCCTTTTTTAAAAAGGTATCCAGTTTTTACAAATTCACCACGACTCTTGATGATTTTTACCTAAGAGGTGCCTTTTTTCAAAAAGTATCCCGTTTTGGAAAATTTACACCATTTTACATGGTTTTTACCTAGGAGGGCCTATTTTAAAAAAACTATACACTTTTCGTAGATTTACCATGACTCGCAAGGTTTTTACATAGGGGGCCATTTTTCAAACACTATCTAATTTTCACAAATTTATCACGACTACACAAGTTTTTTTACCTAGGAGGAGCCTATTTTTCAAATGTATCTAGTTTTTCGCAAATTTACCCTAACTCCTCAAGGTTTATTCTTAGGAGGGGCCTTTTTTCAAAAAGTATCTAGTTTTCGCAAATGTACCCCAACACAACAAGGTTTTTACCTAAGAGGTGGCCTTTTTGAATAAGTATCAAATTTACCCCCTTTACAAGGTTTTTACCTTGGAGGGGCCTTTTTTAAAAAAGTATCCATTTTTCACAGATTTAGCACGACTCCACAAGGTTTTTACATAGGAGGGACCTTTTTAAAAATAAAAGTATCCCGTTTTTGCAAATTTACCCTGACTCCTCAAATTTTATACTTAGGAAGGGCTTTTTTCAAATTGTAGCTAGTTTTAACTTATTTATGCCATCACTACAAGGTTTTTACATAGGCAGAGCCTTTTTTCAAAAAGTATCCAATATTCGCAAATTTACCAGGACTCCACAAGGTTTTTAGCTAAGGGGGGCCTTTTTTAAATTTAGTTTTCACAAATTTAACTTGGCTCCTCAGGGTTTTAGCATAGAAGGTGCCATTTTTCCGAAAGTATCCAGTTTTCGCAAATTTACCCCGATACTACATGGTTTTTACGTAGGAAGGTCCTTTTTTCAAAAGTATCCATTTTTCAGATATTTACCTCGACTTTGCAAGGTTATTACCTTGGAGGGGCTTTTTTAAAAAAGTATCATGTTTTCGCAAATTTACCATGACTCCACAAGATTTTTTGGTGGGATGGGCCTTTCTTCGAAAAATATCCAGTTTTCGCAAATTTACCCCGACACTACATGGTTTTTACGTTGGAGGGTATTTTCTCAAAAAATGTCTAGTTTTCGCAAATTTACGACGACTCCACAAGGTTTTTACCTATGCCAAGCCTTTTTCCAAATGTATCAACTTTTTAGATACTCTGACTTCGCAAGGTTATTACCTTGGAGGGTCTTTTTTAACAAAGTATCATGTTTTCGCAAATTCATCCTGACTCCTAAAGATTTTTAGCTGAGATGAGCCTTTTTTTAAAAATATTCGGTTTTTACAAATTTAACTTGACCCCGCAAGGATTTTACGTAGGAGTGGCCTGTTTTCCGATAGTATTCAGTTTTCGCAAGTTTACTAAGACTCCTCAAGGTTTTTAGCTAAAAGGGGCCCTTTTTTTAAAAAAAAAAAATTGAGTTTTTGCAAATTTAACTTGACTCCTCAAGGATTTTACATTGGAGGTGCCTTTTTTCAAAAACTATCCAGTTTTCGCAAATTTACCCCGACACTACATGGTTTTTATGTATGAGGAGCCCTTTTTCAAGAAATATCCAATTTTCGTAAATTTATCCCTACACCGCAAGCTTATTACCTTGGAGGTGCCTTTTTCAAAAAGTATCATTTTTTTGCAAATTTACCCTTACTACTCATGGTTTAAACCTAGGAGGTGCCTTTTTTGAGAAAGTATCCAGTTTTCGCAAATTCACCACAAGTCGAGATGGTTTTTACCAAAGAGGTGCCTTTTTTCAAAAAATATCCCGTTTTCGCAAATTTACCACTGTTTACATGGTTTTTACCTAGGAGGGCCTATTTTAAAAAAGTGTACACTTTTAATAGATTTACCACGACTCTGCAAGGTTATTAACTAGGAGGGGCCTCTTTTTCAAATGTGTCCAGTTTTCACTTATTTACCTCGACTCCGTAAGGTTTTTACCTTAGGGTCATTTGCCATTACTCCACAAGGTTTTTACCTAGGAGGACCCTTTTTCTAAAAAAATTATCCAGTTTTCAGAAATTTACCCCTACCCCGCAAGGTTATTTCCTTGGAGGGTCCTTTTTTCGAAAGCATCCTATTTTTGCAAATTTACCATAACTCCTCAAGGTTTATACCTAGGTGGGGCCTTTTTTAAAAAGGTATCCATTTTTCACAAATTTACCACGGCTCTAGATGATTTTTACCTAAGAGGTGCCTTTTTTCAAAAAGTATCCCGTTTTGGCAAATTTACACCATTTTACATGGTTTTTACCTAGGAGGGCCTATTTTTAAAAAAAAACTATACACTTTTCATAGATTTACCATGACTCCTAAGGTTTTTACATAGGGGCATTTTTCAAAAACTATCTAATTTTTACAAATTTACAAATCCGAAAATTTTTACCTAAGAGGGGATTTTTTTAAAAAAATATCCAGCTTCCGCAAATTTATCATGACTATACAAGTTTTTTTTTTACCTAGGAGGAGCCTATTTTTCAAATGTATCTAGTTTTCGCAAATTTACCCTCACTCCTCAAGGTTTATACTTAGGAGGGGCCTTTTTTCAAAAAGTATCCAGTTTTCGCAAATTTACCCCAACACAACAAGGTTATTACCTAAGAGGTGCCCTTTTTGAAAAAGTATCGAGTTTTCTCAAATTTACCCCACTTTACAAGGTTTTTACCTTGGAGGGGCCTTTTTTAAAAAAGTATCCACTTTTCAAAGATTTAGCACGACTCCACAAGCTTAGGAAGGGCCTTTTTTCAAAAATTATCTAGTTTTAGCAAATTTACGCTGTCACTACATGGTTTTATGTAGGAGGGGCCTTTTTTCATAAAGTATCCAGTTTTCGCAAATTTACTAGGATTCCACAAGGTTTTTAGATAAGGGGGGCTTTTAAAAAAAAAGTATTTAGTTTTCGCAAATTTAACTTGACTCCTCAAGGTTTTAACATAGAAGGAGCCTTCTTTCAAAAAATATCCAATTTTCACATATTTGCCCCGACACTACATGGTTTTTCCGTATGAGGGTCCTTTTTTCAAAAAGTGTCAAGCTTTCACAAATTTACGAGGACTCCACAAGGTTTTCATATATTTATCCAGACTTCACAAGGTTATTACCTTTGTAGGGGTCTTTTTTAAAAAAGTATCATGTTTTTGCAAATTCACCATGACTCCATAAGATTTTTAGCTGAGATGGGCCTTTTTGTTTTTGAAAAATATCCAGCTTTCGCAAATTTAACTTAACTCCACAAGGTTATTACATAGGAGGCGCCTTTTTCTAGATAGTATCTAGTTGTCATAAATTTATCAAGACTTCACAAGGTTTTTAACTAAGAGGGGCCTTTTTTTAAAAAAATATTCAGTTTTTGCCAATTTAACTGGACTCCTCAAGGCTTTTAAATAGGAGATGCCTTTTTTCAAAAACTATCCAATTTTCGTAAATCTACCCCAACACTACATGGTTTTTACGTTGGAGGAGCCTTTTTTCAAGAAGTATCCAGTTTTCAAAAATTTATCCCTACTCCGCAAGGTTATTACCTTGGAGGTGCCTTTTTTCAAAAAGTATCCTTGTTTCACAAATTTATCGTCATCCCTCAAGGTTTATACCTAGGTGAGGCCTTTTTTAAGAACGTATCCAGTTTTCGCAAATTTACCACGACTCTAGATGTTTTTAAGAATCTGATGATGAGGTTTGATCAGTCTTAGAGTGTCAAGATTGTAGGTATTTGGGTCAATGGGATGTTTCAGAGCAGAATCTTGGTTTGATGGAAGGGCAAATGAGGGAATCTAGAGTTAAAACTTCATGGGCAGGTGTTTTGGTGTGTTTGGAGTTTAATAGTGTGGTTTGATCGGTTCAGATGTGTCAAAATCAAGGTAATCTAGGTTATGAATGTTTAGGCTAATGTGAGAGGTCGAAATGAAATCTTTGTTTGATGAGGGGGTAAACAAGGGAATCTTTAGTTGAAATTTTAATGGGTATGTGTTTTAGGAGATCTTGGGTCTTATGGTTGTGTCAGATCTAGTGGTTGAGGTGTAAGTAGGGGTCGATTGGGGCTATCAGATTGGTATCGGACAGGTTTAACAGTGGATCTGAGGGCTCTCGGGAATGAAAGTTGGGGTTTTTTTGGGTTTTTGGGTGTTTCAGAGAGGTCGGGTGTGTCTAATTGGATGTTTGGGTCAAATTGGAGGTTTAGGCGACAAACCGAGCAAAAATCGGGGGATGACACTCATCTTGACATTTTCAGGCATTGCCACTTTCAAGATATTGCGTTTGCAGAGCTGATTCAAGTGTTTGAATTGGAACAGTAATCAGCCATGGCGTTGCATAAGCTGGAGTCCAGAATGAGCCTCTCCAACCCATTTCTTCTATATCCACTTCTAAATTATTTCTTCTCCACCTATTTTTGATTAGATATTCTTGACATGTGAATGTCGTGGTTGTGCAAAGGAGAATCGGAAGTGATATGGATTCAGAAGCGGCACAAGTATGTGTTTACTGTAAAATGTCGACAACCCTAAATATTATCATTTTTGGAAGACAAGATTTTCTGATTGTGGAGGTGGCCTTAATATCCATGGGTCTTAAATCATTTGTTATTACTTAAATCATTTGTTACTACTTCCACCCAATACAAGTTAATCATTTTTCATCCAACCAAATACAACTCAAATCATTTGTTATTACATAATTTCCATGGATCTTAAATCATTTGTTTCTCTCTTATTTTTCACCACACTGAATACAACTTAAATCATTTGTTATTACTTCCACCCAATGTATCCTGTTTTTCCATTTCATTCATACCGCTTCTTGTTGTAGACAACCGTAGAGCCACCTCGGATCATCTCCTAGAGCTTGAACACCACCTATTGATTGGGTATCACCATAAACCTGTCAGTGATTGCGAAGTCGTGCATCATGGTGGGCTCATCAACAGGAATCTCGATGTCAGGTGACTTCCAGCCATCTGGGGAGAAGCTATAATACTTAAGGTATGGCTTCTGAACGACATCGTAGAAGAGATCAAAGAGCTTTCCCGAGACTGGGTCGAGCTTGGGGTGAACAATCATGGCGGACCGGAGCTGACCCTGGAAGTCGTAACAACTGACTGTCTCAAGGTCATTGGAGGGAGTGATACAAACTTGGTAAGGGAGATCATCCTCGAACATGGCAAGAAGGCGACGGTTAAAACAAACAAGGCCAGAGTTGGAAATTCCAGTTCCCTGGGTGTGATCGACAATCCCGAAAAGTATTCTGGCATAGAAGAGAAGGAGCCGAGCAATACTAGAGTGGCCATGAAGCTCACCAATGGCCTTTGGAAAGACAGGGTGGCCAAGGGCTCATTCCTGAACGAAATGCTGCATCTCAGTGAAGCGGCAAGCGTAGCTAGCTAAGCCATCGTGGATGCTAACAGCGTGAACCATGCTATCACCATCAAAGAAATGGTGACCGACAATGGGCTGGAATAGGGGATTGGTGCCGTTACGAATGTAGACGCCTTAAATGTAATCAGGGAATAGGACAGGTGGACCACGACTCCTTTTGGACAAATCCAAGTTTAGGTTTTGTCATAGGGAAGGTCCATTTGCTATTTTTACACGGAAAAAATGATTTCATGCGCAAATACCTTTTCTTGTGGGAAGAGAATGCCACATTGCCTTAACGAAGGCCCATCCCGCTTTAATATAGATAGATAGATGGGACAACCATTGACCCCTCCATTACCAGACCCACTAGTGCTCCTATTTCATGCCAGCTGCCAAGTTCACGGCATTGAATGTAACCCACTAGCACTCCTATTTCATGCCAACTGCCAAATTCACTTTATTGGATTTCGAATGATCCTAATAGTGGCTCTAAGTTTTTAGTTCAAAGCTACGCCCCATAGAGCACACCACACAACACATCGGAACCGCATACTAGAACATCTGCCAGTGACAAATATGGGAGATGTTCCCACAGATGTGCATGTAGGGCTGATGTGATTTCCTAAGTTTGACATAAATCATTGTTAGAACTGTCAATTGCCTCTAATGCTGCTGTTGGACTGCTAGAGTTGATGTCACCACTTCACCAACTACACCAACACCATGCACTGATGTAGGCAACTAATTCAGCACTGATCTCCCGACGATTAACTCATGGATCATGTCCTAAAGCCCTATGCGTTCCCAATACCGCAGCCTCACTTTTAGAATCCATATTTACCCATATCACTGCACCTAAATTTGTATGATCCATTCAATCAATTCTTGTTGTTTACCAATTGCAAGGAGAGAGCAAAAGGATGGAAGTTGATAGAGAAAAAAGTTGTCAGCGAAGATACTCTAAGCAAGGTTTAAGACATGATTCAAGCCATGAAAATAAGGAATTAGCAAAATCAACAGTGAAAAAATCAAATACAGGAGCATAGACCCAAGGCTTAGATGATTTTACCAAACCTATCATGACTTATGACCAATCGGTCCAACCCTATGGGTACCCTTGACCCAACCCACCCTGACACTTTTCTTTTGACCCAAATGGGTTGCTTGACCCATATTGGCCCATGTGATAGATGGGTGGGTTGGGTGGGTCAGATGGATTTGAGTCAAAAGTGCCAACTCTTAATTCACCATGACTTTTTCACATTTCTCTTAAACTCACCATGACATTTCAAAATCTCTAGAGAGCCCCTCGTGGGTGAGTTTTATTGTCCATGACTCAGCTTATGTTAGATTTCCGTAAGGCCACTATTGGTGAGCATAGACTTGTACATGGGTTGGGCTTTGCCTCTACATTAATAGAATATGCTCAGGCCTGAGCCCGAGCCCGGCCATAAATTTTGAAAAAAAAATTGTTTTTCCTTTTTACTTCAATTAAAAACTATTTTATTTATATTAAAAGACCTCAAAACCTAAAAAAATAATGAAATATCTCATTATTACTGGAAAATAAAAGAGAATAAAAATAAAGAAAAATTATATTATATGTATATATATGCTTTTTCATAACATAAAACATATTTTTATTATATAATACCTTATCAAGTCAGGCTTGGGCTCAGGCTAGGCTTTTTTCGAGAAAGCCCGAGCCCAGCCCAAAAAAAGGTTGGGCTCGATATTTTAGGCCCAAGCCTGAGCCCACAGGCCTGAAATCCTATCCAAGCCCTGAAGGGATGAGAGATCCATCATATGGATGGCCGAACCCTGCAGGAAGGTAGGGCGAAACGAAATTTCAAAAATTTTCTCTCTCCCATCTGGGAATCACATTCTGTTTTAGAAAACTGCTTTTCAATGATCAATCTTGAACCAAGAACCAAACCAGATCTGAATAAATTCAATAGGAGAGGGATATACCCGATACGAAGATGTAGTATCTCCCAATGAAGGTGTTCACGCCAAAAGAAAAACACCAAAGACTGCTCCCGCTGAAGATGACACAGCGTACGGTGGAGCAGAATCAGCAGGGTCCGTCCAACGAACCGAATTCTTCAGCAAGAATCCAATGGAGGCAGTGAGCACAACTTCTGATCAGCCTTTCTCCAAAGACTGATATCAAGACTCTTCTTGATCGCTCCTACAATGGAGATTGAACTGACAGTATGGCGGCAACTGGAGGAGAACG